CTTCTAACAACACACACAGCCATCTCCTCCCCTGTGTGACTAACCCTAGCCCTTCTAACAACACACACACAGCCATCTCCTCCCCTGTGTGACTAACCCTAGCCCTTCTAACAACACACACACAGCCATCTCCTCCCCTGTGTGACTAACCCTAGCCCTTCTAACAACACACACACACAGCCATCTCCTCCCCTGTGTGACTAACCCTAGCCCTTCTAACAACACACTCACACAGCCATCTCCTCCCCTGTGTGACTAACCCTAGCCCTTCTAACAACACACAGCCATCTCCTCCCCTGTGTGACTAACCCTAGCCCTTCTAACAACACACAGCCATCTCCTCCCCTGTGTGACTAACCCTAGCCCTTCTAACAACACACACAGCCATCTCCTCCCCTGTGTGACTAACCCTAGCCCTTCTAACAACACACAGCCATCTCCTCCCCTGTGTGACTAACCCTAGCCCTTCTAACAACACACAGCCATCTCCTCCCCTGTGGGACTAACCCTAGCCCTTCTAACAACACACTCACAGCCATCTCCTCCCCTGTGTGACTAACCCTAGCCCTTCTAACAACACACACAGCCATCTCCTCCCCTGTGTGACTAACCCTAGCCCTTCTAACAACACACACAGCCATCTCCTCCCCTGTGTGACTAACCCTAGCCCTTCTAACAACACACAGGCTGGTAGTGTCTTTGACAACACTTCCCTCCATTCTGTATCGGCACGTCTGTTTGAAAACCCTTTTTAGAGTAAAAAAAAAAAAAAGTTGTTTTGATTGTCCCCTGTGTGTGTTTGTGTTTCCTGTGGGAGCTGGCAGCTTTACACACGTGGTGGCAAATGTGAGACATCACTTGTCGAGGTGATAACGTCAAAGACTCTTTTCACACAAATCTGCCTTTCTGCGTTCCCCTTCTCCCCTGAGCTTGTTTCAACACATAGACAGTCTCTCAGTGTGGACGTGGTGAGGATTTAGTCTAGTAGCATGCAGGTGGTAGACGAGATATCCGTTCTGTCCTTGGCCAGATCATATATGAGCCTCAGACGGTGGTGCTGCTGACAGTTAAGTGATGCTGTCTGTGTCTTGAGTTCCTCGGTTCAGTTATTCATGCGATTATATCCCTTATGTGATGTCTGTAGGGCCCTGTGTTTTGGACTATCATGTCACATGACCAAGATTTTAACCTTTTTATTTTTAAAAAATTAGAATTACACCCCAAAAATGAAAGCAGTTGTCTTGAGGACGGCGCGGGTCCATCTGACATAAAGTGACAGTTTGTTGAAAATGCTTTAAATCCAGGTTCGAATCCAGGTCATGTCACATGATTGTCCCAAAACATAGGGCCCTAGTGATGTGGTTTCATGTTGATAGCTATCTGGCAGGTTCGCTGCCACGTGGCAATCAGCCCAGTGGGTTAAGGAGGAGGGGGGGGATTACTGAAATAAAAAATAATTTATGAATGACTCGTTTTGTGAATGTCATTCAGCTCTACCTCCTCTCCTCTGTATATCAGCACTATATACAGCACTAGAAACCTCTGATAATGAAACAGTATCTCTCTGATCATACTACTATCTGGCTGAGCATTGGCACTTTTTCTTTTTACAAATGCTCCTCCACCTTCTCTCCCTGGGATCACAATGGAAGGCCTGGCCTTGGAATGAGGCATAACACCTGAGTAACAATGTATTTATTCCACTCCAGGTTCGGACCTCCAGGTGTGCCAGTCCAGGAACCTGACATGCTGTACTAAGAAGATGGAGGAGAGGTACCAGGTGGCAGCCCGGCAGGATGTTCAGAACCTCCTCCAGACCTCCTCCTCCAGCCTCAAGTTCCTCATCTCCAGGAACGTAGCAGCCTTCCAAGGTGAGTGGAGGGAGGGATGGATGGAGGGGAGACAGGGAGACGGGGGTGGGAGGGATGGATGGAGGGGAGACAGGGAGACGGGGGAGGGATGGCTGGAGGGGAGACAGGGAGACGGGGGTGGGAGGGATGGATGGAGGGGAGACGGAGACGGGGGTGGGAGGGATGGCTGGAGGGGAGACAGGGAGACGGGGGTGGGGGGGATGGATGGAGGGGAGACAGGGAGACGGGGGAGGGATGGATGGAGGGGAGTCAGGGAGATGGGGGAGGGGGGGATGGATGGAGGGGAGACAGGGAGACGGGGGAGGGGGAGATGGATGGAGGGGAGACTGGGTTACAGGGGTGGGATGGATGGATGGAGGGGGAGACAGGGAGACGGGGGGTGGGAGGGATGGCTGGAGGGGAGACAGGGAGACGGGGGTGGGGAGTGGATAGATGGAGGGGAGACAGGGAGACGGGGGTGGGAGGGATGGCTGGAGGGGAGACAGGGAGACGGGGGGTGGGAGGGATGGATGGAGGGGAGACAGGGAGACGGGGGTGGGAGGGATGGCTGGAGGGGAGACAGGGAGACGGGGGTGGGAGGGATGGATGGAGGGGAGACAGGGAGACGGGGGTGGGAGGGATGGATGGAGGGGAGACGGGGAGGGATGGATGGAGGGGAGACAGGGAGACGGGGGTTGGGAGGGATAGATGGAGGGGAGACAGGGAGACGGGGGTGGGAGGGATGGCTGGAGGGGAGACAGGGAGACGGTGGGTGGGAGGGATGGATGGAGGGGAGACAGGGAGACGGGGGTGGGAGGGATGGATGGAGGGGAGACGGAGACGGGGGTGGGAGGGATGGATGGATGGAGGGGAGACGGGGGAGGGATGGATGGAGGGGAGACAGGGAGACGGGGGAGGGATGGATGGAGGGGGAGACGGGGTGGGAGGGATGGATGGAGGGGAGACAGGGAGACGGGGGTGGGAGGGATGGCTGGAGGGGAGACAGGGAGACGGGGGTGGGAGGGATAGATGGAGGGGAGACAGGGAGACGGGGGTGGGAGGGATGGCTGGAGGGGAGACAGGGAGACGGGGGTGGGAGGGATGGATGGAGGGGAGACAGGGAGACGGGGGTGGGAGGGATGGATGGAGGGGAGACGGAGACGGGGGTGGGAGGGATGGATGGATGGAGGGGAGACGGGGGAGGGATGGATGGAATGGAGACAGGGAGACGGGGGGAGGGATGGATGGAGGGGGAGACGGGGGTGGGAGGGATGGATGGAGGGGAGATGGAGACGGGGGTGGGAGGGATGGATGGATGGAGGGGAGACGGGGGAGGGATGGATGGAATGGAGACAGGGAGACGGGGGAGGGATGGATGGAGGGGGAGACGGGGGTGGGAGGGATGGATGGAGGGGAGACAGGGAGACGGGGGAGGGGGGTTTGGATGGAGGGGAGACAGGGAGACGGGGGAGGGATGGATGGAGGGGGAGACGGGGTGGGAGGGATGGATGGAGGGGAGACAGGGAGACGGGGGAGGGGAGTTTGGATGGAGGGGAGACCCCCCTCCCCCCCTCCTCCTCCTCCTCCTCCTCCTCCTCTCACTCTGATCTGGAGATTAGGCTCAGTGGTTCAGTGACTAGTCTGGTTCAGTGACTAGTCTGGTTCAGTGACTAGTCTGGTTCAGTGACTAGTCTGGTTCAGTGGTTCAGTGACTAGTCTGGTTCAGTGGTTCAGTGACTAGTCTGGTTCAGTGGTTAAGTGACTAGTCTGGTTCAGTGACTAGTCTGGTTCAGTGGTTCAGTGACTAGTCTGGTTCAGTGGTTCAGTGACTAGTCTGGTTCAGTGGTTCAGTGACTAGTCTGGTTCAGTGGTTCAGTGACTAGTCTGGTTCAGTGACTAGTCTGGTTCAGTGACTAGTCTGGTTCAGTGGTTCAGTGACTAGTCTGGTTCAGTGGTTCAGTGACTAGTCTGGTTCAGTGGTTCAGTGACTAGTCTGGTTCAGTGGTTCAGTGACTAGTCTGGTTCAGTGGTTCAGTGACTAGTCTGGTTCAGTGACTAGTCTGGTTCAGTGGTTCAGTGACTAGTCTGGTTCAGTGGTTCAGTGACTAGTCTGGTTCAGTGGTTCAGTGACTAGTCTGGTTCAGTGGTTCAGTGACTAGTCTGGTTCAGTGGTTCAGTGACTAGTCTGGTTCAGTGGTTCAGTGACTAGTCTGGTTCAGTGGTTCAGTGACTAGTCTGGTTCAGTGACTAGTCTGGTTCAGTGGTTCAGTGACTAGTCTGTCTCAGTGCTTCAGTGACTAGTCTGGTTCAGTGACTAGTCTGGTTCAGTGGTTCAGTGACTAGTCTGGTTCAGTGGTTCAGTGACTAGTCTGGTTCAGTGGTTCAGTGACTAGTCTGGTTCAGTGGTTCAGTGACTAGTCTGTCTCAGTGCTTCAGTGACTCTGTGGTTCAGTTACTGAGTAACTTCGAATATACACTACCAGTCAAAAGTTTGGACACACCTACTCATTCCAGGGTTTTTCTTTATTTTTACTATTTTCTACATTGTAGAATAATAGTGAAGACATCAAAACTATGAAATAACACATATGGAATCATGTAGTAACCAAAAAAGTGATAAACAAATATATATTTTATATTTGAGATTCTTCAAATAGCCACCCTTTGCCTTGATGACAGCTTTGCACACTCTTGGCATTCTCTCAACCAGCTTCACCTGGAATGCTTTTCCAACAGTCTTGAAGGAGTTCCCACATATGCTGAGCACTTGTTGGCTGCTTTTCCTTCACTCTGCGGTCCAACTCATCCCAAACCATCTCAATTGGGTTGAGGTCGGGTGATTGTGGAGGCCAGGTCATCTGATGCAGCACTCCATCACTCTCCTTCTTGGTAAAATAGCCCTTACACAGCCTGGAGGCCCAAGCAAGTCTCTTCTTCTTATTGGTGTCCTTTAGTAGTGGTTTCTTTGCAGCAATTTGACCATGAAGGCCTGATTTACACAGTCCCCTCTGAACAGTTGATGTTGAG